ACTGAGCCGCCTCGGCCTTCTCCTCATCTTGCTGGGAGTCCACAGACCTTGCTGTGTTTGTCCTGCGCACACAGATGTTGCTCCGAATCGAACATGGACCAAAGTGGAATGAAGCGGCATAAGAAGTTCGAATGTCAAAATGCTCGGCTGGGAGTGTGTCACCTGCTATACGGGGGTATTCTGCGAGGAATATTTTGGCGGGGTGGGTGCAATCTTGGGGGCTGGGGGCTTGAAGTCACGGAGAGATCTGCGGGCTTATTTGGCGGTTATTCCGCCTGGCGGTCTATCCCGCCTCGCAACCTAGTGGGATAATCCGGCGGCTCTAGTCCGCCCCATTCAAACGGGATCTACAGGATGTGGCCGGCTAGTCCGCCACTTTGATTTCAAGTAATGTGAAGCGGTCAAGCCGCCCGGCGGATTGCCGCCAACAAGCGGGCCTACCCGCCTTTTCGGAATCTCCGACCTCTCCACACACAGCACACGATGGTCCTGACAAGGCGGCCCCCGCCGGCCGAAGGCATGACCACTCTCGAGAGTGGTCCCACCAGCAAGTCAGAACACGAAACAGCTGCAAGCATATGGCGTCCAGCACTCACCCGTGAAAGCAAAGGCTTCACTTAAAGACCCGGTAAGAATTCACAACAACTGCACTTGCAAGCGAAGCGACCGATCTCTTTCCACGACCACCAAGAGGTTCATGCGAGCATCAGGTAGTGCACGGCAGCTGCGAATTATCTATCATCAACCACCACACATGTCCTCAGAGAGAATACACAACAACCGATGTCCTTGCGTATGCACTTACGATGATGGTGCATGCCATAACAGCAAGCAAGGCACGAAAGATCGGTAGTGCTCGCTGTGCCCATTCGGATGAAGACTTCCTGCACTGGAAACAATCACACCAAGTACATAGGCTGCTGCACCGGGGTCCTGTGCCAATTCGGGACATGGAGAAGCCATCAGAGTCTCCAGCAAGTTGTGAAAAGCATCCACAGCCTTAGATTCACAACACTTGTGAATCAATCCCGCAAGCTCACATCTCAACAGTTCTAACCAGGAAGCTTCCAGCTCGCCAGCCATCTCCACAAACATGTTGTGGACTTCTGTTGCATTTGCTACTGTTGTATTAAGACATATACAGCTGCCTTTAAGTGAACGGGATTTATTGCACGTGCTGACTGCCCTTGAACTGTTTCTTACACATGTTTCTCTCTAAACAGAAAGAAGAGCCCACTCCACGGGTCCGGCGACGGAGAGTTCCCCGGGCTTCCGATGTAGGCCTTTGCCAAGGCTTATGCACTTAATTTAGGGTTTCAGGCATGGCTCTTAGTTTGGGATTTGGGATATTTCGACATCTTCCGGCTCTACTTTTGTATTGACGAACAGGGCTTCTGATAGTAATGGTGAGTTCAAGCTAATGACTGAAGTCTCTAGAGGAGCCTGATTAGGACCATGGGGGAAATGCTAGTCAGCTACTATTTGCATTCCTTATAAAGAAACCTCCACTCCTTTATGCGAGGCTGGTGGACTTATTGACACGAATGACCAGTAGTTTTCTGCAATAGCCCCACCACAACATATTTGTATAATGGACAATGCATCTATCGTATCATGCCTAGCACTTATGTATACACTATATACCCCAGATTGAAACCCTGAAGTGGAACGCTGTTCTGAACTGCCACGGCCCTTGAAGTGGCATGGCAATGGGAACCTATGAAATAGAGGACCCTCATATGGTATCCTAAGTAGTAGGATCCTTGACCCCAAAATGTTGCACCCTAACTGTCGGAACCTCCCATATAAAGAGGAGTGCAAGTGCCACGAAAGATCACGACATGAACCAACCTCGGCACCAAGATGAAACGCAGGGGTCCCCAAAGGCTCCATGTACCTTTAGATACTTAAGCCTTAAAGGGGTTCCTATATAGGTGGCCCCTAATTATATACTACATGGGTCCGCCGCACTGCAAACAGCAGGTTAAAAAGGCCCTAAACCCTAAGCCCCGATGCTTTTCGAGGTTCTCGTCCCCGGTTGCCTGATTACGACCCACGAACCCAAGTCGGAGAGTGGGTTCCCAGAGACTCCAATACCCCTTAATTAAGGAATATTCCTTAAATTATGGTAGGATCCCTTACATGATTTAAGGCATATTCCTTAATGAAGGGATATTGGAGTCTCTAGGTTGCGATTCGGGGTTCTGCAAAATCAGCCGCCGGGACTATCGCTGCTCCACCTTTTGCCCTGGAAGCGCGGCACCTGGGGTTTTATCAAAGGGGAAAAGGAGGGACCCTTAATGGGGACCCTTAGCCCATAATGGGCTATACAATGGGTACAGAATAGCTATATTAAGGGTATATACCTAGGGCCCAGCTTGAACCCTAAACCCTCCGTGGACCCTAATTCCTGTTTAGGGTGGTTTTGCTGAGTGCTCTGGGAGTGGCATAAATACCCAGCCACCTGCATCCAGCACTAAACCCTTTTCCCAAACCCTTTTCCACAGGCTTGATTAGTGCTCGCCCGGCCAGAATCCCCAAGCACATCGCACTCGTGGCGAGATGCGGAGAAACCCTAAAAACCCCTAAGCCCTAAACTAACCCTAAAACCCCTAAACCCAGAACCTTAAACCACCTAATAGGTCCTTTCAACACCAGTTCTGCGAGTTGGTGGCTCACTTCCTTCTCTTGCTCTGTGGCCTGAACAAAGATGGACGGTTCAGGGGTTCAGGGCTTTATAGGTTTTAGGGGGTTAGGGGTTTAGGTTTCGGCGCTCACATTCGGACAATCCAGGCGAGGCATGTGGTTCGAGGTCTGTGGAGTGAAACGACTCTAGTGGGTTCAGGTTTGGGGGTTCAGGGTCTGGGGTTTACGGATGTCTTCGGGATGAGGTTTAAACTGAATTTGTTTAGCTCTCTGAAAATCATTTATGAATAGGTTCCCTTTATAAGGAAATAAGGGAAATTAAAAATTAACCCAAAGCACAACCCAAATGGTTGGGATAGCACTAGGAATTTTAACGTCTGTTCCTTCTTGGGTTTAAATGCCCACGGAGAGAGATAAAATGGTATCCAACTATGACAACGGTCTCTTCTTCTTTCTCCCATACAGTTCACGGTTTATACTTCCCTGCAAAGCAACGTGGGCGCATCACCCTCGACTGCCCCTAAACCCCTCCGCCCAACCCTCACAAATTTCAAGGAGAGACTTTGTCAGCAGGGCTATCGTCGAAACAACTGCATTCATCATTCAGTACATACAACCCTAATTCAGGTCATTCTTCTTCACAGAAACGACGAAAGCACGAGACACCTTTCAACATACATGGAAAAAATCATACTACTTCAAGTGTTTTACGAGGGCATTGCCGGACTTGATGTAGGGTGTTATGACAGCTATTAGGAACTGATCTAAGTCTTGGGGGTCGTGGGGCTGTGGCATCTTAGGGAGATTTGTTGTTTTTTTCAGGTTTGGGGCTGAAAGGATTCGGTCTAAATGCCGTAGCCTTCCGCAGCTCCAGGGTGTTGGGTGAGTTATTATGTATAATTTCTGTTTGCCCTGAAGTGTACAGTACCCTTTGTGGAAACTGGGGCATGAGCTTTTAAACTGAGCTCAACTACAGCTGAACTGCTTAGAAAGCTTTCTGCCCCAAGAATGCCAGGGGCATTTCTGAGACCCTGCAATGTTTTTGTCAGAAGATGATGGTCCACTGTGTGCGTTGTGGCTCAGGGTTTACTACAGGGGTCCGAATACGTAGGAAAATCATACCATGAGGTTCCCTATTGTATGTACAGTGTAAGGATGAAAGATCCCCCGAAACCCAAGTCTAAGTCTTCCGGCTTCCATAGTAAAAAATGATATGCCTCCGCTGCTAGGCTGTGGGCGAAAGCCGTCATTAGAGTCGCTGCAGCGTTGCTGTCCTGCGAGGAATTTCTGAGGCTTTGGGAATTCGACTTGCAGCATGCTCCTGATCATATGCGTTTATAGTGCCATTGCTTCTCAGAGCAAAGTCATGATCAACTCATTTCCTCTCCTCTATCCGAGACATCATGCGACCGTGAATCCTGCCTGAACATAGAACGCAGCCCGCACACGAAACACCCCTGAAGCCCGAAACTCGCCCTAAACGCGAAACCCCACCTTCTTAACCCCACCTCTCGCCCGCAACCCGAGTACTTAAGCACCGAAACCTACAAAACCCCCCAAACCCTTCTACTTAAGCCCCCAAACCCTGGGACCCCCGAATTCCCTTCTAACTCAAAGCCACCCAGACCCTGAGCCAGCCCCAAAGCTGCGACCCCGGAATTCCCTTCTAACTTAATCGATCAAAGCCACCGAGACCTTGACCCCGGTCCGAAGGGTCACTGACACCAGATTATTCAAGCCAAAACTGTTGGTCCGGGTAGTCATCTACAACCTTATATACATACATACGTACATACATACATAAATACAGACATACACACATACGTACGTGTATACATGCCTACATACCTACGTACGTACATACATACTTAGCTTTTGGCACTCGCGTTCGACAGAGTCAGGCGAGGTTTGGGGGTAGTCATAACTACATACTTGATTACATACCTATACTCACTTACACTACATTACATCACATAACATCACATACCGTATATACATAGAAACATACAGACAGACATACACACACACACATGGGTGGTTGTCAAAATTAGGGTCCCTTTTGGGGTCCTTAACATAATACGGCACCTATAATTAATTTAGGGTACCCAAAAAGGGACCTTAATTTTGACCACCACCCACATACATACACTATACTATTTTGGGGGTTCCTTACTATAAATGTAGTATATTGGGCCCCAATACCCTATTCTAATTATTAAGGCCCCTATATTACACACATACATACAACGAAGAATTCGAAAGCGCTCAACAGAAGCCCGAAGCGGGCCTTGGCCAGGAAGACCCGCTCGGCCAAGGACGGGAGGAGCCTTGGCTGAGACTTCAGCGGGTTTAGACTTTAACGATTCAGATAGGGTTTAAGGGATTAGGGTTTAGGGTTCAGTGTCAGAGGGTTTAGGGTTCAAAGGTGTTTAGGGCTATTCAATGACCCCTTCTCCGCAGTCCGACAAATTTTTCTCCGGTAACGTTCCGTTTGCTTTTGTTTGTTGAGTGCATCACTTTCTCTTGCTGTGACAGTCGAAACCGCCACATGGGCTTGTTCGAAAAGACGAAGGGTTCAAACAGGGCGGTTTGGGGTTGTGGCTTATAGGGCTTCAGGGTTCCTTCAAGGATCCTAGCCGGCTTACCGGTCTTGGTACTGTGAAGGGGTTTGGGTTTATAGGGCAGGTCTATGGTTCGGCTGAGTCTACACCGACATGTCGCTTAAACCACTCTTAAACCCTTTACCCTCAACCCCAAGAAGCGCAAACGCCAAACCCTACATCAGGGAGCTCCATGCCTTAACAACTTCAGCCCTTGGCACGTCCGAACGTCGCATCTGGCAGCGCCAAGGCGGCTTGCAGCGTAGGTCAGGCGTGCTTCCTCGGTCTCCCACCCTGAACCGTGCGACAGTTCCCCAAAGGGTCCAAGTAATGGTATAGTGTATACTTGGGGAGCCAAAATACCTAGTATGGTACTTGGACCCTTTGGGTTCGAGCTCCGTGATTGAGGTTTCGGGTTTTGGAGTTTGGAAAAAGGTTTCGGATGCAGGGATACAAATGCAAGCGCTTGTGCTTTGGGCCTGGGGAAAACCGTGCGCTTAGGTTTCTGTTGTACGACCTTCTCACCTGGCTGGGAGTCTGAAAGTGGGATTCCACTGGAGGTTTGGGCAAGCACTGTTGTAAGCTTATCTTCGAAAACCTTACGAGCTGCTCACTAACATCACGACTTGTTGTGCATCACTCAGACACTTGCACTTAGGTTTAGGGCCTGGACTTTCGCTCGACGCTTTCCATCCCCGAAGAGTTCGATTCATGTGGTAATCCCTTTACGATGTAAGGTTTGGCTTCGGGGAGAGCTTGGAGGGATTTGGCCTGGGGATTCGGCATTTGGGGTTCACAACCCTCATCGTGCTGCTCATGACGGCTGGACGGTCTTTTATATTGGCTAGGGTTCCTTACGCGTCTCTACCACAAACATCATGCTGCAGGCAGGCACTTTAAAAAACATTGGAGCAGAAGAGCCCCGACACAGCTTGCACCCAAAACAGTTAGAAGCCTGGCCCAGAAACAGACGCCTTCATTTCGAGGTGCGACATCCGGAGTCTCCAGTCTAAACTCGAAGCCCCATCCCCCCGAGTTACTGACTCTTCCCTCAACTTCCCAAACGGCAAGCCGCCGAAATCCCTAAACCCTGAACCCTAAACCCTAAACCGACTCCAAATCGCCAGGAGTCGTGGTTTAAGTCGGCAAAGTGTCGACGTCGAAGTTCGCCTTCCAAGCCAGGGTCAGGGTCTTAACCTGGGTTCTTCAGGGGTTTCTTTAAAGGGATCCATAAGGATTCCTTAAAGGGATCTGTAAAGGTTCTTGATGAGGGTTTAAGGGATTCAGGGGTGTTAGGGTTTAGGATTTGGGGGTTTAGGGTTCAGGGATCATGTCACGAGTTTTCAAGACACGTACTAGAGAGCCCAACACATTTGAATTCAATGAAATACCCTAAATCTGAGCAAAGACTCTGTGATTAAAGCTATGATTACACTCCTGAATTGTGGATAATCGTGGGCTGTGGGGCTCTCTGAGTCAACACTTTCGGATTTATCGGGCTTGACTGGAAGTGTGCCAAAGGGAGTGAAGAAAACCGACGTGTGGGGTTCATGGTATAGGCGCCCTAACCCCTGTAAAATGCCGCAAACCCCGAAACTCTTGTAAACCCCTTAACCCTAAACCCCCTAGAACCCTTCTTTCTTTTGGGCGGCCCGATGCGATGCTCTCGCATGTTCATGTACTACCTGTGAGCAGGAAAAGAAAGTGCAGGACCTGACTGAGGAGCTTCTTGCACGTTAGCAACCCCACTAGCTTGTTCCAGACTGGACGGTTACTGCCAGCCTGTGAAGAAAGAACCCTTCCTTTTTTGGGTCACGGGCTGAGGCCGGCCGTCTGAAGAAGCATCATATTGATAGAACCCTTCTAAACCCCAACCATGACCTAAACCCCAACCATGACCTTGCACTCGCGTCTGCCCTAACTCTGCCCAAGAGTCGCCTAAGAAGGCGGTGGCCAGGACGGGCGCTCCGGGGGCGCCCTGACGGCGGGTCAGGTAAGCACCTCGCGGAGGTTACAGGGGGCTAGACGTGTAGGGTTCAGGTTGACTGGGGTTATATAGCACATTTCTAAGGAGACACACTTGGAGGTAAATATCGTACGCTCACATAACCTGGGCTAGGGCTTTACGGCAGCAGAGCATATTGCACAAATCACCATAGGCCTCCTAGCTGAAGGGACATGTACTATCGAAATATGCGGGTTAAGCAGCGCAGAAGGTTCAGGGCTTCGACGGAGAGGACAGCCCAAACAACGCTGGAGCAAACAACTGATGCATGATCTTGCTCCGACTCTTCTAAAGCATCGTCCACAGACTGCAGACAGCAAAGCTGAGTTTTCAGACATCTGCTGGAACCAGTGTAGACAACAACGACCCAGAATCTGTCGCAACGATTTCCGGCAGCTGGACGCTGTCTTTTGTTCAATCTCACCTTGTGCCCTCGCCTCTGATGAGAACTCTATATTCCATCATCGTTGAAAAGGCGTACTCAAGTTGCACTACCGTACCTCTGCCATGTTGCTTACACCCGTGCGATGTATATTGGAACATACACACACGCACAGCACACATCATAGCATCTTTCTGTGACTATGCTTGTACCAGAGCATGTGTCCAACTGAACGTATGTCGACGCAGGACGGTGCCAAATGGATGCTAGAAGCTTCGGGCAAACATCATAACAATACCAATTCTAGTTCTTATAGTCATATCTTAATAAAGGAAACCATAGTAAATGGTAATACTAATTAGTTACTATATGTGGCTTGTTGTTGTGATTATGATGGTTATTGCTAGTGTTGTTATGAGTATTACTGCCATTTGTATTACTTTGACGATGATTACTGAGGCTTCTAGCATCTATCCGGTCCCGCGTAGTACTGGTACTTGTACTTGCAATATTACTAGTGATAGTACTAGTACTATGATAACGTTGATGCTAATACAAATAATCATAACAACTATGAACTTACATTCGATATCTCGGCCGGGGTCTGTAAAAACCTCTGCGACGTCTTTAGGTACCCAACTTTGTGGCGAGTGGGCCGGGTTTGTAGTCAAAGACTTTTGGCTAATTTGGGGCTGAGGTTCAAGGCGGCTAGATCCAATTTCGCCGGGGGGCGTAGATGAGCGAAATCGCCCAGCTCGACGGAAGGGATCAATCGCAAGGCCTGCACAGCAACACTCTGCGCCAAGTCTATACTGGGCCCGAAGCATGGGTTTTCGGCTTTTGCTAAACCCATGCACGGCCCGAGCCACTACCCTGCACGGTGTTCCGGCTCTTACTAGACCCATACTGAGCCATACTGCCTGAACCCCGTTTGAGTTTTGCTCCAGGATTGCTCATCGCCTGCCCTCCAGGCGTGTGCCTGGAGCGGATAAGGGTGAAAAGGCTCTTTTGGGTGACTCTTGCGCCTAAGTTAGGCCCCGGACAAGTCCCTGCAGCACGGAGTCTTCTACTAGGATACCCAGTAACCTAAGAAAAGAAAGGCCTCTCTTTTTGGTCTTCGGTAACTTTATAAGGAACCTAGGACTACAAAAAGGGAATAAGGGTACTACTGGGCATCCTAGTCTATGTCTGCGCAACTCGTGTTTGTCTGCTGCCCGTACCGACGGAGATTTCAACATGTGGACGGTGACTGGCAACGCGAGGCCATCCAGAGCCGGCTTCAGAACAGTTCCGCTAACTCGTAAAACCTGTAGCCGAAGAAACCGAAGTCCACAAAACAGTAAACTTTATTAGTTAAACCCCTAAACCCTAATTCCTATCAACCCTGAAACCTTCCGTCCTAAACCTTCGAAGCTCCGCAATCCCCCAAGTGGCAGCTGCTGCCTCCCCCCTGTATAAGCTAGCAACCCTTACAAAAACCACCGCAAACGGATAGAAACACTAAACATGCCTAAAGCCAAGGAGGTTGCTTTAGCCCGGCCTGCAGCAACTTGGGCGTCTGAGATGCAGGGCAGCCGAGGCTCCTTATCTTTCAAGAGCCTTAAGAGGTCTAGGATTTTCGCGTCCAGGCCTTGAGGTTTCGGGTTTACGGCATGCCGGCTTTTGCATTGCCTCCTTGAGCTTGGCAGATGGGTTCAGAGTTTAGGTTTTTGGACTATGCCCGCAGGCCGGGGTAAGGATGCATGCAGCAGCAGTTTGGGGTTGTACAAGGGTACAATGAGGGTTCTAGAAAGGAGGGTACTGACTACAAGGGCTTTCAGGCTTCTATAGGTATATGGGTACCATGAAAGGGATTAGGGCTTAGAGATGTTGCGGAGGTGCGAAGGGCCGGGTGTAGCGGCAGGGTCCAAATACTTGAAGGAAAAGCGTCTAGCACCGGTATACCTTTCACATTGTTCCCAAAATCCTAAACCCACTCCAATATCCCTTAATTAAGGAGTACATCCCTTGATTAAGGAATATACATTCAGACTAAATGGGAAGTGGGGGCCCGGAAAACCAGTCAGGAAGTGGGTGTCAAGGCTCCAAGTAATGTAAGGGCCGTAATAGTTAGAATAGGGTTTTGGGGCCCATTATACTATGATTATCATAAGAACCCCAAAATAGTATTGGTAATTACTAAGACCCCTATATTCTACAGAGAGCACTTACTACTTGGGACCCAAAATCCATAAGCTGTGCCGGCTTTGCACTATTTGGGAGTCTTGGTGGAGTTCGAAATCCAACCATTAATCCTTTCTCAGGAGACATGCGGCCTAGGGAAGAACGCGGGGCTACGGTCCTGACAACATTATTTAAATTCAAAACTTACAACGCAGTCTCAACCTGTCGCCGGTCAAGCAGCCTCACGGAGCTCACTTCGGAGCATTGGCATTTACGCTCAAGTTTGATGAGACTTGGGTCCTTCAACAGTACCCAAACCCCTCAGGCACCTTGCCCGAAACCCGAGAACCAAATAGACCAAAAGTGTGGTCACCACACCGAAACCAGGAGCTCAACTTCACATCTCAAGTTTAGGGCTTAGGGCTGCGAGAGAGAGAGAGAGAGAGAGAGAGAGAGAGAGAGAGAGAGAGAGAGAGAGAGAGAGAGAGAGAGAGAGAGAGAGAGAGAGAGAGAGAGAGAGAGAGAGAGAGACCGAGAGAGAGAGAGAGAGAGAGACCGAGAGAGAGACCGAGAGAGAGAGAGAGAGAGAGAGAAAGGGAGAGAGAGACCGAGAGAGAGAGAGAGAGAGAGAGAGAGATAGAGAGAAAGAGAGAGAAAGGGAGAGAGAGACAGAGCAAGAGAGAGAGGAGATTCGATCGATGCCCCCTGATTCCTGATCCTCCCGACAGGTGTTTGCATCCCCGACCGGTCCTGGAGACCATGGCCACCACACGCCAGGGCCAGGCTCATGGCATGACCGCTCTGGAGCCTACATTACAGCTCATAGGGATGATTATCATATTTATTGCACAAGTAGTATAAGGATAAGATCCCATCCTACATTACAGTTTAGGATTAAGGAGATATGTCTGATAGAAACCCCCGCAGCAAACCGTCTGATTCAGAGCCTGTAAGCCCCTCCTAACAACCCTATTCAAAACCCTTGTACGCAGGGATTCCGTGCATGCTCGGTCAAACCCCTTTGAACCCCACAACCGGTATCTTCGGAATCTTCCTATGAACTATGAACTCTTTGAGACAGTTCTCCAACACCGACTGCTGGGGGCTCCTAAGTGGGTAGGTAGCTCACTGGCCCAAAACCCAAAGGAAATAAAAGTTGAAACTTTCAGAATCGACTCGTCGACTACCTTATAAGAACCCCAAAAATTGAAAAGTTGAGTTAACAGCCAATAGGGTAGGAACTGAAGGTGCGACCTGGCGAGGTCTAATGCTGTCCGCTCTCATCTCGGACCATCCGCGGGACAAATAAACTATAAACCTGAACCACCCTAAACCCTTTGAAGTTTAGGGTTTAGGGTGGTTTAGGGTTTAGGGTACAGGTTTAGGGTTTTAATACTCTCTCTCTCTCTCTCTCTCTCTCTTGGACCTGTCTACAAGAACACATTATATAAGTTATATAATATAACTGCAAAGCCGTCTTCTAATCCCCAGTAACAACCTTGGGAACCGGCGAACATACTGAATAGTTCTAAACAAGCTCTAGTAGACTAGTAGAGCTGACTTCTTGTTACAAGCTTCTGTTGGGACTGTTCGAGGGTCGCGGTGTGAAGCCGCAGATCAGGCTCCACTTCGGTGTCTCTGTCGTGGTTGAGTTTTCTTAAGACAGGCACCTTACAGCGCCAGCTACGTGGTTTTGCATTGACACTCTTCTAGAAGGACTGGAGTTTCTCGGCCGTAAGCCGTGAACCAGAAGGATCTTTGGACATCTGTGGGACTCCTCATCACTGAGGCAACAAACAGCCCACCCCGGTTTAACTGCGGTTCAAAGTCCTGGGGCATTGGCTTTACATCGCCCTCAACCCCTAAAGCCTCAAACCCCTGAACCCTAAACCCCTAAACCGCGTTAGGTCTATGCTTGAGAGTTGCATGGTCACGCTCATGCGGGTGTCGAAAAGTAGGCAAGGCGAGTCTGTCTCCAGATGTCGCATTTCTGGCTGAACACCCCACCCCCTGATGTAGCCCACAAGGGTTTAGGGTTTAGAGCTTTGCGAATAGGGTTTAGGGTAAACCACAAGGGCCCCGAAACTCCAGGCCTTCATTGCACACAAACCATCAGGGCACAAGATAGTCAAAGAATGTGCTCCGGCGTTCCTTGTGTAGCAACAGTAGTCGAACTGAAGCATATGCTACACGGGCAGCTGCTACAGGGGTCTGAATAACTAGAGAGCGATACCACTCCCCACAACCACTGCATGATGATGTTGCCACTCCCAAATTGCCAAAAGTACTATTCTCAATCGCAAGGCCCTATATCAAACCTCAGACACTTATATAAATATGTGTATGTATGTGTGTATATATATATATATACATACGCATATATGTATGTGTACATATATACATATGTATGTGTAGAGAGTGGCTTACATCTGCATACTTGCATGGATACATCTCCATCAGCACATCTCTCTCTCTGTCTATATATACATATATATATATATATGTGTCAAATGTATATATATATATATATATATATATATATACATGCTCAGATGTGGACATGCAGGCCATCATCATGAGGGCGAAGACCACGCCGTGGGGTGGAGTCCTTGTTGTGCAGGGTTCGTGAACTCTCGTCGGTTTCTCCCTGAATGCAGCACAAAACTCCTCACGACCCAAAACCTAAAATGGACTTGGGATTGCTTAGACTCCAACTTCCACTACCCTCTAACATACTCTAAAGACCCACTATTAAGGACCATCAGCATTCCATTAAAGGGCCATTGGGGGGTCATGGTAGGTCCTCGGGTTTAGGGTGTAGGTCAGGGCTTCGGGTTTGACGCTGAAGCGTCGGGCTCTGGCCCAACACAAGGAAATGCAATCAAAGGGCAAAAGTACGGACACTAGATGGGGATCCCTACCCTATAACGGGCTGTATAATGGATATACAAAAGCTATAAATAGCAAATAGCATATATACCTAGGGGTCCTTATTTAGAGTCCCTCCGTTTATCCTTGGATACAAATTCTTGTTTGCGGCAAGGTTCTCCATAGCCCCTTTGGCGATCACAAGTGCAGGTTATGTGTAGCGACTCAAACTGCCTGGGCCGGTAGATATTGCGGAAAACTCTGTGCCAGGAAAGCTAAGCCGTTAAACATTTTTATCCCTAGACATTAATCCCTTTGAAGAGCCAAGCCCTAAACCCCAATCCCGCTTTGAACCCTAAATCTTGGACCCTAAAGTCTACCTAGAGGCTCCAGTGTAGTTCCTTTTAGGGTTCATGTTTAGGATCCTATAAGGTAATCCCAAAAAGGAACTGCTATGGAGCCTTAGTCTGGTGAGAATCTCTAAATCAACCATAAGCCGAGCATCTCGGTGTGCGTCTCCAGCGACGGAGTCCAGTTGAAGACGAAGGCATACATGGCTCCTGGCATGCAACTAGGATCCCCAGTACCTTATCTCTATATATATATATATATATATATACATATATATATAATATATTGTGCATATATATATATATATATATGTATATGTATGTATGTATGCATATATGAATATGATTGAAAGGGTTTCTGTTTTGGTATCGGGTAGTAGCTTCAAAGGGAACCTGAAACCACAGAAAGGGACAAAGGGCCCATTCAGAGGCCCAGGCAAGACTCCACCGAGTTCTAGACAACCACAAACCAAATGGACATGCCACCAGGTTTAATGAAGCTCTTGGGTCATGTGAAATGGCACGGCATCTCTACTCCAATAGGCCCGAAAATTGAAAGCTTCAGTCTTGCTATGGCCCAAAACCAAGACAGCAGCCCTGACGCAGCAAGTACTCCCATTGTCTCAGAAAGCTAATCTTCATCGTCAGCCCCCCTCCAAACTCCACGCAGCCGTGCACCTCTACCCTTAGGCCCCAAAGTAGTTCCTTTTTGGAGTTCATATTTAGAATCCTATTATGTAATCCCAAAAAGGAACTACTGTGGGGCCTCTGGGTAAACTAGACTTCAGGATTCCACCCGGAAAGTAGCCCTGAGGAAGGTGCCTTCATCCTATCTACCCTGGATCTCAAACCCAAATCCCGAAACACCAAACCCAAATCCCATTCCACCCTTACTGCTTGGGAGTTTCAAAACGGGCCTTAGATTAGGCTAATTCGCAGCATCCTTCGAAGTCAGAACCCCGAACTAAGGCACCCCGAAACCACTAACTTCATTTGCCTTCGAAGCAGGAGATCACCACGGCAAGGAGGAACAGAGGCTTGTCCATCAGAAGAGCACTAGCTGCCTGGCCAACCAGGTTTAGGGCTTGGGGGTTTAGAGGCTAGGGGTTTAGGGGTTTAGGGTTTCGGGGTTCCCTTGGCTCTCTATTTCCTTATTTAAAAGGGATTATCATCATCCCTGGCTCCTTAGCTCCTCCAATATCAACGGCCGTAAGTCTTCTTGAAGGGAGGCGATCCTCAGTATAATTTGCCTATACTACACCCAAAAGCCGTGTTGTCTGGCGGTTAGACTGCCAGGTGGCTCCAGGATTCAAAGTGTCGGGCTTCGGGCGTAGATGTTTGTTCGGGCTTCAGGGGTGTAGGGTTTACGGTGTCACTTAGATCTCGGGCTATGGAAGCTTGGAGACTTGGAGTGTGCAGGGGGTCGCAGGCTTAGAAGTTTAGAAGTTCTTCTGTATTACGAGGCCATGGTGTGAGGAGCTGCTCTTTTGCCTGGCCTGCTACTGTTGGGTTAAAAGGGATTGCTCCTCGGACCCGGGCACAGCACATCCACAACTCCTTCTGGGCCCTCTCTTGCTCTCCAAACCGGTGATTTCTACAACAAGCTCCCACTAAACAGCCCTGTACTCTTCAAGGTGCACATGGCGTAAAGGAGTAGCAGGCTCTTTGGACCTTACCCTAACTGCTAATACCCCTTCCCCGGCCGGCCGGAGGCCCCACCTCCTTCCAGGATTGCCAAACGCCTGGCACGAAGCTAGGGCTTTTGCCCTTAAGATGTGGGTCCCTTCTGGGGCGTCCTTACACTTTTCTGGTACTCGCATAGTTCCCATAGCTTAGAGGAGTCATTAGGGTCATGCAGGATTTTGTCCATCAGCAGTATGGGTCCCTTCTGGGGAGTCCTTACACTTTTCTAGTACTCGCAAGGTTACAACCTCCGTGCTTATACCCTTTTAAGTTTTCAGCACGGGCTGCCTACGGAACTCGCAGCCCCGTCTTAAGGCACGTGCTTATACCCTAAGCCATTAGCCCCTACACCCTAAGCCCCTAAACCCCAAAGCCCCTGAACCCTAAACCCCTAAACCCCAAAGCCCCTATAAACCCTAAACCCTTAGCCCCTAAACCCTAAACCCTTAGCCCCTAAACCCTAAATCCCTAGTCCCTAGACCCCTAAGCCCCTAAACCCTAAACCCCTAGACCCCTAAGCCCCTAAACCCTTTTTACCCTAAGCCCTTAACCCCTAAACCCTAAACCCCTAGACCCCAAAGCCCCTAAACCCTAAGGCCCAGGTAGAGCCGATAGCACCGCGTTCTGCATAGGGCCAGGGAGCCTGACTTATTAGAGGCGTTACCTGGGCCCCAAGGAAACTATCTTTTTAGGGTTCCTTATTTGGGTTTAGGGTTTAGGGTTTAGGGTCCCCAGGAAACTATCTTTTTAGGGTTCCTTATTTGGGCTTCCTCCAAGATGTCCTTAAACAGGTAGGTTGTTTTATTTGTGGGGTTAAGATAGGGCTTGCGAGGTCTTCATACCGCTAGCACAAAAGGGAA